TGTTCAAAAAGTTGTGTTTCCATTTAAAATTCAGAATGACCAAATCCATTGCATGCCATAAGAGATAGAGAAGACTGATTGCAAAAGACATTTTGAGTGAAAGAATTACAGTCTTCTGGCTGAATATTATTTCAAGGTGGTTACTAAGGCAGTAAGTTTGAAATAAGCATCATTTACAATGATCTAATAAAGGTGTGGCTAAAACCCAATGAGTAGCCATTCATTGTTAATTATCAAGATAGAAAACATATTCAACAACATATTGTTAACCAATAAATGTATGTGATTCCCCATATAAGTTATTAGTGTGTATGCTCTTTTCCACATTTATGACTTTTTTTGTTCTCACATGATAAACTGACATTTTAATGATGTGCAGAACAGCTTTCCCTTTTTGTAATATTTCTCAGATGTCTGTTGACACTTTGGTCTTTCCATTGTATTGATCTTGATACATAGCGTGATCTATTGGTTCTGTCAGACAAGTTACATGGACCTTTGAAATGGACAGTCCCTCCCTGCACTCTGATGAGTTAAAGCATGTAATCATTGGTTTTGTTCACACTGTAAAGTGCTCCTGCATTGCAGTAGCAGTGTTTACTACTTACCAGACCACTTTGGCAAGAGCCGTAAATTCACATTTTTGTCCAGAAGGCGATATTACATTTTGTTGAATTGTTTTTAGTCACTAAGACTATCTTAACTAAATTGAGATGAGAATTTGATGAGAACCATATCCCTAGATTGGTTTGAGAAACATGTTTTTTATCAGCTAGCTAGCATTGGTTTTACAGACCTCAATGTTGTGTTCAAAATATGGATTATGTAGAATAAACTTACCATAGGAAAACACAGGGAAAATCAAATTATGTTTTGTGGAAGTTGTGTGGCCCCAAAGGCTGATTTAGTGCCAGACATGCAACCATTGTTTTGGTTTAAAAACTAAGAATTGGTTTAGCTGCATAACAGGTGTAGATACGGGAATGTCAATGTGATCTCTCCTCCAGTGCACTCTCACCATGCCTCACACAGTGAGTGGGAGCTTCTATTTTGACCAGGACTGTACAGAAACATCCTAGAGATAAAATTGGTGGAAGAATTAATGTATGTTTTACAAAGGATCATTCAGTGTAGGATGCAGATTAAATCAAACTTTAATTTATTTTGGCATTGGTAAAGAGAGAAAAGAAATCAAATATGGGATTTTTAAGGGATCCCAGATTGAAGCTTTTATTGAATCTGGGCCTCAGCTGACAGCAGAATAGTGGCTAGGACTGTGATAAGCCCATCAAAGGTTTAAAACATAGGTCAAAAGATACTATGTTATTATCTTGTAACTCCATAAAACATTTAGCTGACAATGTAACATTGTTTTTGGATAATTGTTCTCTTTTATGTATTATTATTTATATTAATTATTCATATTGCCTTATATTGAAAACCCTCCATAGATAAGGATTTTTTAAATGTTAAGTATATATTTTTTCATAACTCTCTTCAATAACTGCAATGTGTTCTTGTGGAAAATATAAACTACATACATGTACTGTATTGTAGTATGAAGTAGCCTTAGACTGAATTGTTTAACAATTGTGGGTGTGCTTTCTTACCAATTCTTTGTGGTTTGCTTCCTTCTTGTCCTGTTATAAACTAAATGTATGTACTGTAACTTTTGAAACAATAATGAAGTACCGCAATAATAAGTGATAAATTATCCATGCAATATTTAGTTTCATGTCCTGGGTTTGTCATTCTTAGTTTTTCAGATGATTTGAAATTATTTTATGATGTTCCGTTACTTAAGTGTCTTTTGGAAATGAAGATGAATAGATATTTTTGAATGGTTTCTTTTCACCAAAACATTTTACATCCAAATGTGTCACACACATGTGTTTTAATAACATAACTTTATGCTAGTGTGTCCATTTTCACCTGACATTTTTTTCAATATAAACCTTGTTATATAAGCTTATAACTAGATAACTAGAGACATTTTAAGTATTTGCAGTTGTTTTAAGTATTTGAGCTGTCCTTTACATATGCTGAAACATTTTAAAATATTTCAGATTATGAGACCAAAACAGTTTCAAAGACTATTATATTGTTTTTACAAAAATAACATGTGCATCGCTTTGCTGTTCAAAATTGAATTTGTATGGCTAGTTTGCTTTTTATCTGACCTTGTTCCAGTTACATTTCTAATACATAGAACAATTGGTCTCTTGGAACTGTTTATTAATTTTTATCAATTTTGTAGAAATCTTTTATGCTTTTGTTAGTTTTGAAATGATTAACAGAAAAGCTTTCAAAGGATGTTGAGTGGAAAACACACATTACACTCCACCTATCTGTTCTAATTTGAACTATTACATTTAAATATCTGTCAAAACTTTTCAACCTAATTTTATGTGGTAATATAAATGGATGGCTGCAGTTTCTTTATTTCATTTGAACAGACTACTTTTTTGCTGATACTTAGCTGAAGTATTTTGGCTCTTTCTATTATTACAAATGGCCATTTGACACCTGACACCTAATCAAATTCACGGACTTCCAATGGCCATACTTCATGGTACCTAAGCAAATTCAGGACTTTTAAGGACTTTTATCCCAGATTGAAGCTTTTATTGAATCGGGGCCTCAGCTGACAGCAAAATAGTGGCAACAACTGTGATAAGCCCATCGAAGGTTTAAAACATAGGTCAAAAGAAACTATGTTATTAACTTGTAGTTATGTTATTATCTTGTTATTATCATATTAGACTATGTTATTATCTTGAATTTTATAATGAGGTAAAACTCAAGTATTCAAAATTCCTTCACTATAATGACTTGATATGCACATTTCATAGTTTATTAGAAATATTGATGCCTATCTGAATCAATATTTAAGTGCAGGTAATTCCTCCTTAAATTTAAAATATTTATGTGAATTGACATAATTGTTCATGTATGTAATATATTGATATTTCAATGCTGCGCATTATGATAAAATATGTTTTATAATAAAATAAAACATTTTATATATTTGTTCGTCTGGCCCTTACATACACTGAAATATTTTAAAAATGCAAATTATATTTTCAACCATTCTGATAAGTTATGTGAAACAAGCTAATGAAACTATTTGAGTGTGATGAGATGTTGCGATAGGCCTGTTGAAAATGTTAGCTCACTTTCCCTTCTTGCATCTTCGTTACTCCTGAACTCCAGAGTATGAAATAGCAGAAAGTGAGACAGCTCATAGGTCTAAGAAATCTGTGCTTGGTACCCAAGATGGAAAGCTTCAAGTATCCAGTGTCACTGATCTTGGTAACAGTATGACTTAGTGTAATCAAGCTAATTGACTAAAGCTTCTACAACAACCTCCTGGATATTGGTCAGATGTGGAGTTTTAACGATGAATCCCTGATTTCCCCCATTTAGCAGTGGTAGGGTATGTGGATGCGAGAACATTCATGAAGGTGTTTGAAAGGGACCTAGTGCACATAATTTCAGCACATTTAATTAATGTGACAATTAATGGAACAATTAATTAATGATAATTTCAAGTGTCAAGATATCATTGTTGATAATCTCACAGGAGAGTGTTATGCTGACTTCACTGTCAACTGTGCCCCATCTGTTGTTACATCAATGTACAGAGGTTTTTGGCAGATACATACATAACAAGCTATTGCTATTTAATGCTGTTGATCTGTTGCTATACAAAATGGAAGATCCACATGGGGTGCAATCCCTGTGTAAGTCAATGCTGTGAATATTTGCCTGTTCATGATTGGTTTAATGGGGGACACTCTAGGTGTCACATATTTACCTGAAAGCATCATTGTGGGCCCATACCACACATGAGTACTGCACTTTATTGTGAGAAACATGGTTTCAAAATATGAAATGGTTTCAGAACCGAAACTGAATTATCTTGATTTTATCTTCAATTCAAAGATGTAAGATGTTTCTAAAGCATTTCTATAAGCTCTTTTTTTAGATTAATTTGGAATTTTTCTTTAAAATTGACCAATCCCAGAATGCAATCACTTTTATTATTTGAATGCCTCTTTTTACAAACACATAAATTGTTTTTTTAACAAAATTCTTAAACATATTTGACACTAATTTAGGCTTTGGAAACATTTTCAGGATATTATAGGAAACCTAGCTGCTATTGCAGCATATAGTGATGACAGTTATATTTGTGCATTGTCGTCCTTCAACTTAATTTGTTCCTCATTTGAAATTCATTAATGTTTTACTTTCATATTAATGTTCTTGCCAGTCTTTGATTTGAATTCATGTTTTTGTTTCCAACTGAGCACTTTTAAGATAATTAAAAACAAGTGGAATTTATTATGATACTGGATCAAAGTAATTGTATTGTAAAAGCCTGCCAATATACTCTAATTTATTGGAACTTTGGATTTGAATTACAAATTAATGTGTAATTTTTTCAGACAATGGTTATGCATCTGTAGTGACAGCTCTATTAAGATTAAATGATTTTACCCAGTTTCTAGCAATATCTCATCAGATCTATGCATTTCTGCAAATAAGGGTTTTGTCTTGACTGAAAAAGAAACCACAAAGGGAAATCAGGTGCTACTGCGAATCATGATGTTATTAGAAAACTTAAGGCAGCCTGATTAAATGTCCTTTGATGTTTTATTCAACATGTAACTCAATTTTCTTGTGAATATTCATTATCTTGGAAGTTCAGCGAATTAGCCTTCCTGGGCTTAACTGTTTAAAGAAAATTTGATAAATATTATGATCACCACATAAAATTCACAAAGATGTGACTGTCTGGAAACATAGAACATGTAAGCTCCACTGTAATGTGTTCTGATTATTTCAGTTGTTGAAACATTTGATCATCTGTACTGTTATGCTTTCTGAGATCTGTGATGCAGTACACATTTGTCATGAAAAGTCAATATTATAAATCTCACCTAGTCTGAACGAGTAAAATTGTCTTCTGTTGAACTTTTTTCTTATATCACCAGAAAATCCAGACACTGTGTGGGGATTCCCTTTGAGCCAGTACATGAGACAGCGAGGCTGGTACTGCGGCAGGAACGCAAGAATGTCTGCATGTCTAGTAAGCTTGGTTCAATATATTTTCTAATACAGTAGTTGTAAAGACTGAAATTTAGAACTTTAAACCTATTGATGTCTGTTTCTGAAGATTTGTGAAGATTTTAAACATAACTTTTTATAGTTTTAGATCCTTTGTCTCTACTATGAAGTCTCCTTGAATGTTTGAGAAATATTAACGTCATTTACAGTCATTTACATTTTTTATAGTCAGAAAAAAGAACTGCTTCAAGCCAGGCGCAACATTTGAGTATGGACCAAAAAGGCATTAGAGTTTGGAGATATGAAATATGTGTATATTTATATTCCTGCTATCTTCCTGTTTTTTTTTTATTGGAAAACAATTGGTCAGGTAAAAGAGGGCAACAGGGTGTCGGTCTGACCTACCATTCTCTTACACATTTAGTTAGATCTTTAACATAGTTTTTTATGCCTAACTGCATATAACTGCAGTGTGTATATCTATCAACAATCAAATGCTGAACTTGCCGTTTCATTCTCTTTTAAGGCACTAGAAAGAGTTGCTGTGGGCCAAGGGGTAAGTCTCAATGCTTACTCTTAAACATTTTATTTAAATAAAAGATTTGTCTGCTTTTACATAAGAAAATGAAGAACTTTCAGTGAACCTGCACAGAAATTATTTGAAATTGTTGCCTTGTCTTCGTGGCTTCCACTGGTTCACATTGCTGATAATGTGGTATACAACAGGCCACAGTGAAAGCACTGTTATTAGAGAAAACAACCGCCAGGCATTCAAAAACAAGACACAGTAGGGTAGATGTTTAAGCTTAAAATTGAATAAGTTTGGTTATTTGCTTTTCTGAGGAACATCCATAGTTCATTCCTGAATTTCAATATAAATAAAAGGCTATTGTGAGAAGGATTTGAAAATATGTGTGGTTAATCAAAAATAGATTTTGAAAGTTAATCAAAAATACTGTTTACTACTTATCATGTTCCTTTTGAATTTAACAACAGAGAAAGTTTTATCAGAGCACAGGAATCATTTAATGAGTTCAAAGTTATTGGAAATGGTAGGAAATCCTGTTCCCTTACAATTTAAAAAATTGGAACACAGCAAGCTGAAACCCAGCAGAGACATGAACAGTTGTCTGTCTGACACTAATAACTCTTATCACTATTGAAGTGAAGGCTGCAGCATACAGTCCAGTTTGCATCTGTTTGATCTCACCTGATGCAGAGCTTCAACTGAAACATTCCCAATATCTCTTTGATTACTTTCCTCTGTAAGAAGGTTGGTGTTCTAGATGCAATACTGTACATCCACAGAAGTCAGTATAATGAGCCAAGAACAAATCAGTTTCAACACATTACTTTATTAAAATTATCTTTATTATTTTACGTTTAATGCTTTTTTATAAATAAATAAGAGTGTCTTGCTCTTGGTTTCAGTAAAGCTCAGTCATTATACAGTGAAATATCTGTGAATTATTCAAATAAACTGATAGAAAATGAATTGAAATGTGTATTACATTTTTATATTTATTTATAAAAGGAGTAAGAATTTCTACATAGAACTGGTGTTACATCAAGAAATGAAAAATGTGATCAGTAAGCTTGAACCAAGATTAAAAAAAAACATTTAAAGAGGGTTTATTGTGTACCTTTCCTGAATATTGAAATATTTAAATGATCTACTGTGAAAACCATGAATATTTTGAAACAAATACAAAATCTATATATTGCCATGATCATGTGCTCAAGTGAAACCATACAGAAATGTAAAAGAAAATTGTTTGCTTTTCTACAGAAAAAGTAATAAAAAATATTATGGTTTCCAGATTAGTCAGGGTCTGGTCTGGGCAGGCCTTTGTTTTGTTGCCTTTCAATTGGGATGGGTAAAGTCTGGAATAAATATAAGATATTGACAAGATTCCAATTTTATTATACTGTTTTTGGCAGTTTGCACTACAGCATACAAAAAGTACTTAAAACAGCTCTTGTAAAATAAATGACCGCATAATAAAATGTATAAGAATATAGTAAGGGCAGCATTGTGGTACAGTAGTTAGCATTGCTGCCTTCAGCACAGGGGCCCAGGTTTCAATTCTGGACCTGGGGTGATATCTGTATGGAGTTTGTGTGTTCTCCCCATGTTCGCATTGGTTTTCTCTGGGTGATCTGGTTTAATTCCACAGTTCAAAAGACATTCTGTTAGGTTGTTTGGCTTCTGCAGAAAATTGGCCCTGGTGTGAGTGTTTGTGTACAGTATGTGCCCTGCTATGGATTTGCATCCTGTCCAGAGTGTACACTCCTTTGCACCCATTGCTTGCAGGGCATGAAGAATGTGTTCTTCTCAGTCTTTTAATTTATTGGGGGTGTTTTAGTATAGTGACCATAATGTAATGATACTTACAAATGTTTAAAACATGAAATTCCCATTGGCTAATGGAACATAACATGTCCTTTGACTTAACAAAAATATTTAGTAACTACAGGTATTGAAACCATTCTGATATTGTCTATGCTTTTTTTGTTGTCATCTATACTGGTGCACTTTTAAAAGCTGTAGGTGACGTCCTATACATAATATGTTAAGTGAATTTTAGAATTAGTAGTTAGGAAGTGGGTCTTGGGTAACAGACATACATAAAGATGTATAACTTGGGTACTTATATTCCCTGGACATTTGTCATAGTCAGAACAACCTGTCAATGTTGAGATTATCCTCACAGTAGTAAAAGCTCCCTTGCTAAACTTATCACGAAGAGGCAGACAGAGAAGCTTTTTGTGTGATTTAGTTTCTTATACCTCATCTGTATTTTCTTTTTCAGCTACCCATTGAATCTCTGTTCTATAGAGCGGTCCTTCATGTCATTTTGCGGGACCATTATGGTGCAATAAAAAGGTAAGGCAGGCTTACATAATACTTTAAGGGCAATGAACAGGCAGAAATCAGAAACAGAACCTATATATGCTGCATGGGCTCAAACGTAATTATGTCAGAAGTGCTGGGTTTTTCCGTCTGTGTAGACGTAAGCTATCTCTCATTGAGTTGCTTCATTTAAATTTCCATCTAATTTCACAGAAACAATGTCATAGTATTTTAGCTGAAAAGCAACAAGTAAAGGTTTTTTCAATGCTGAAAAGAAAAGAGACACAATGTTCCAGCTGTGGTGCCTTCTTCAGGTGTCTGCTTGAAGTTACTGCTTGAACTTCATAATATTTTAGCTATGTGAATGTAAGCTCTCCTGGTTTATTGAATTCTACATATAAATGCTACACTTATTTGTTTCTACCCATGTCTCTTTTTCAAATCAGTATTAAGTGGTAAACAGCGCTTTGGATAGGAAGTGACAAGTTTTTGGGAACAAACTTTTGTTGACCATTCCAATATTTCATTAAGTAAACCTTGCGCAATAAGAGATTCAAATGTACATTGTTATTTTAAATCCAAAAATGCTTTAAGCTTTCAAAATAATAGTCCCAAGTGATATTTTCTTACAAATGAGTTGGATTTGTTTCCAACAGCCCATGATGAATGCTGTCAAAAGAGATAATACAAATCATGTTGACTGAAAAATATGAATCAGTTGTCCTTCTCCTTGAGTAAAGAATCTGCTGACCACATGTGGCATGGAATATGTTGGTCTATACCTGTCTTTGAAAACCTGTTTTGCATTTTATTTTGCTTCTCAATAGCACTTTCAGGTTTCTTAGTTGCATCCTTCATGCCAAATCCTGCGCTACTATTACCTGTAAATATCTTCCTGGATAAAGTGAAATATTGAATTGTGAAATTGCTGAACCACATTTATTGAAAGCTATGGAACAGGAGATATTGTGGTTAAGCTTTCGTCAGCACTTTTTTCTTTGGTTTTCTTTCGTTTAAAGTTTAGTCTTTTTAACATATCACTTTCAGGCAGCAAATTAAAAGCCTGCAAAGATTACTTTGTACAGGTAAGCACACATGGAAAGAATAATTGTGAATTAAACCCTAAAACTGTCCATGGTTCTGACATTTTGATAGCCATAACTCTTGAGCTTTTGCAGACTTGCAATCAATTTTGAATAACTCTCTGTACGCTATGAATTTATTGTGCCTTTTTAGGTGCGCATACACATTAGTGCTTTAAAGCTCATATATATTGTATTTGTAGAAAAGTAAAAGAAGACTATGATCATCATAGTACTGTATCAGTTTAAATATTTCCATTTGTAATTCACAAGGATTAGAACTTAAATAGTTCCCCATGTGTCTATTGCAAAAAATGTCAGAAATGCATATATTTCTAAAATAATGGTAAAGGGATGTCATGGAAGATTGCAATGATTTATAGGGAGTGTTGCTTTTTTAAAGCTTTGGCAGTTTCTTGGCCAGGGCTCAGCAGTGTTTGGTATAAATCTTGACTAGCACAAAAGCTATACTTGAAAAGCAGATTGTGCATGAAATGCTGCACACATTTAGAAAAAAAAGATTAAAAAGAGGGTACTGATAAAACATCATGAGGATACAGACGTTCTTCTGGAATTTAATTAGATAGCACCTGTGTGGCACCACACAAGGATTGCTATATATTGGATTTAGCAAATAATTTTGAATTAACACATAATTAATAAATTATGTAGATAAAAATGCAGTTTTATTTTATGTATATTTTGAAGCAAAGACAATGGCAATAAATTCTGACATTGTCAAGACATCAAATGCGGCACTAAAACAATCATCCGTGTACTGTATTTGACATGAGGAAACACATGGTTAAAAAGATGCCAAGGTATTTAGTAAGCGAGGGAAGAAAAATAAGTTATAAATTCCCCTTCCCAAGTTCTGCTTTCTTCCAAACATTTGACTGTAGGTAAGATTCGTGACCATTAGTTATGACTCAGTGCAAGGTAAGATGATTTTGGCATATAATATTTTATCTTTAGGTTTTTAAGGTAATGGCCCAACTAAAATGAGGTGTATTTGTATTGGCAGTGAAAAACGTGTTGGGAATGTGTACTCTAAAACCACCTCTTTTGTGGATTATATCAAGAAAGCCCTGAAGAAGCTTGATCTTGATGAGTCAAAGGTCAGTATTTAAAGTAGTTTTCAGTATGCAAAGGTTTAAGTGAATATGAATACTTTATTATCAGGTTATTTGAAGGAAGCGCCCCTAAGATCCAGTGACTGAGCTAAGGCGTCTTGTAAAGTAGGTTCATTCTTGTTACACATGTTCAGACCATATACTGTTTATCTCACACAGTAACTGAAGTCTTGAGATACTGTATTAGCTGTTTATTTCAATTAACAAAAGGCTCTTTCTAGAAAAGAAAGATTGAAAAAATGTTACCTTTACACAGAATTGTAGAAATCATTCCAGGCTTTACACTGAATATACACAACAGAATTGAATAGTAAACTTTGTTTTAAGGCACTGTACATCAAAGTATATTCTTCTATAGAAGTTACTGTATTTGTCAAACAGAAACTTTATTTATAAATCTATCATACAGGTAATTTCTGAGATTCACCCAACATATGTACTGCAATCGTCATTTTCAAATAAAAAACTGTTGAGAAAGAAAAGTGGTGAAGCGTGAAGTGTCACAAACTCCTCGACCTGCATGCACAAAGTGTAGCAGAAAAACCAGTGGATCAGAGCCAAATACCTCCATAATTGCCTTCACACAGTAGCCACAGTAAAACCGTCATCACGCGTTGTTTTTTAGTATCTGAATAGTATTACACAAAGTTAGGTGCCTTTGGTTGTCCTGTACATGTAAGGAAAGTTATTTTAATTTTTCATCAATTAACTAAGTACATCAGCATGTTTATCAATATTACCTAAGACTTATTTTAATTATTTAATCACTTGAATAAGTAGGTTAAATTACCTTTGACCTCAAAACAATAATCCCTAAAACTCTGAAGTCTGAATTCATTTTAGATAAATCTGTGAGTTTTCATAAACCTATAATTAGCTTTGGTTGAAGCACTGCCAGTTTTAACACATCTGTCAACAACAAAATTAAAATAGAAGGGGAAAGAATGTATTTATATAACATCAAATGACCTATAAGTTCTTTCCACCTACTTCAGTAGAACATCAGTCTTCAACAGATTTTCTTTACATATAAATTTAATCAGGAAAGAAGGCCTGTGATATACAGAAACATGAATCAAATTTTATCTAAAAAGTTGTAAGAAAATTATTTTATACTGAAGAGAATACGGACATTTTAATAAAATCTTAACAGTATTGGGTGACCAGGAAAATCTATAGATAAAAAATCAGAAAACATTTGATATAAAAAGTATATTATTACATATTACAGTAATGTATAGTGTTATATTAGTATATTATATAGTTTATTATTATGTACTTTTTATATAATGAAAGAATGTGGACTGTAGTAGATGGGAGATTCTAAAAAATATAGGCTGATCTTGGAGTATCTACAACCTAGTTGTCAGATGCTGGATAATATAAATTAACAGATTTGTAAAATATCATTCTGCAGTTTGTTGATTGTTTTTTTCTTCTTAACCTAACCTGTCAGACATAGGTTGCAAGGCAGTTGACTGCCTGGATGGGATGCCAGTCCATTGTAAGACACACAAACATTGTAACACACACTTTCACAGCATATCTATGAGAGGAACCAGAGCACCTGGAGAAAATAACGGCCACAGCAAACTCCACACAGAAGGTGCCCCAGGCCAGAATCATACCCTTAACCCAAGAGATGTGTGGCAACAACTTGTCTGTTTTGTTTTATTAAATGGCCCAGGTTATTTAAAGAACCTAAAATACAAACTGTATTTCTAAAAAAGGACCCACAGAATGTATCCACAAATTAAAAAAAATCACATTTAAATTGTGTGTTTTGGGTACCCTTTCGAGAGCTTCCAGATGAAGTGATACCCTAGTTACCCTACTCGATTGTAAATTGAATATGCTTTATCTTATGTTTTTAATATCAAACATGTTTCTTTTGGCCCGTCACATTTCCATACACAAAATAAGCCTACAATTTGATGTGTCACAATACTTCATTGTAGACCTGTATGAATAAACATCCCAATAACAGTTTTAAACAAAACCTTTTTACTTATTGTACACCTGTCAGTTTTGACTGATACAGTATGTTGATTTATTTTAACACTTCAAAATCAGTCTCAGTTCCTACATAAAATACAATTAAAAGGCAGTTGCTTGGAACTCAACAGAATAGCGTTGTGTGGTCACTGGTATTTCACTTCAGTATTATCAAACAAATGAGCAATGCTTTTTCATGGCTGGTACTAATTCATTGGAATTAAGAGCAAGGGTTAGCAGGTGTGGGTTAATACATTTATGTTTTTTTGTAAATGGGTAGATTTTGAACTTTGTTTTTTGAAAAGGTTATCAGAGGTTAATCTCTTGTGATTTTCAGGACAACATTGTTTTTATTATTTTGAATCTTACAGCTGTCAGATAGCCTTATTCAGGATTATTATGAGACCTTTAAACCAAGAATGAAAGAGATGGAGGCATTCAACATGGTAAGTTCTTATTTCTCTTCTAAGCATGATCAGTTTTATTGTCCTTTAACATTGACCCTTAAACAGTGATGTCAGTTATTGGGGTTTTCAAGAATGTTCCTGAGAATGAAAAATGTAAATGTATCAATGGTGACAGATACCAAACATCTGTGGCACAGGGAACAGCATTATCTCTGTAAACTACAGAACTAAAGCTATTCTGTTCTTAAAGCTATCTGTGTAAAACAACATGTAAGATTTGGTGAGGCCACCTGCATGGCTCAAACAGTAAAAGTAAAAGTGCAATTTTACCTCTGCAATTGCATTCTGGGTTTGACCCTGGGTCACGTCAATTGGTGGTGGTGACAGGGATTTCCCAAGAAACATTATACAATAAGCCAAGGGTGGGAATAGATGGCCAGCGCTTTCAACTAACACTGCAACACCTGTGGCCTCCTGAGCAGTGCCAACAGTGTGGGATATGCCTCTCCTCCAAGCAGCTTTGGAACCCTGGTATGGAGTTGTGTTGCCTGACATTAAAAAAAACAACAACATGTGGTCACAGATGAGTCTTCGTACTCTTCCTCTTTCTCTACTATGTCAGGTTGAGGAGTTCATAGATGTGAGCTGAGATGTGAAAAACACACAGTTAATCCCAAAACGAGGGTAGTTATATCATAAAAAACTGGCTGTTGTATTAATAGTTTCATGTGGTTTAAAAATGACTTCCAAGCATTTTATGCATGGGTTAGGTGTATAATAATTTGAACCATGAAATATTTGCTTCATATAAGCTGATTTTGCCTTCAGTTCTTTATACCCATATTTCACCTTCAGCTGTGTAAACTGAAAAGGCATGTCATACTGTTTTCAGGGACAAGAGTTGGTTTCTCTCTCCTTCAGTACCAAAGCCTCTGCTGGTTTGTGTTATTGTTAAGTGTAAAGCCTAGAGATTAATGGTGAAGAGTGATAGGTGCTCCTTTAGTCAGTCGAGGTGGAGGCATGGGAAGCCAAAATTAGATCCTGTGTGTGAGAGTTCCCTGCTGTTCTTTCGGACAATCTAGCACGAAAGACCTTAAAATAAAAAAAGTACATTTAGCATGTGTTGGCAAAGCCTTTCTTAAGTCCCAGACATTAGTGGAAATATCTTTTTTGGTACCTAAATTTAAATTTTAATAGAAAATTATGAAACATTACTTCTCAGAGGATTTTATCATTTTAAGTTTAATTAGCCACTTTTTAAATTATCATACTGTATTGCAAAGATGACATAGTGCAGCTAGGACTGAAATCTTCATTATTTTTACAAAAAATCAGCAAAAAAAAATAAATTGGAAGATTTTTTCCAGAAGAGTGTCTGTTCAAATAAGTGCTTCGAAATAAATTTCTTCAAACAAATAAGTAATAGGGACCTTTTTTACAATGATCTATGGTATAATAAAGCTCAGTTTTTGTTTGTATTGGTTTGTTTGTCTTAACACTGTAATGGAAATTAATTGGATTAATAATCTTTTCAAGAAGACTTTTCTTTGCAAGTTAGAAATAATGCAGAAAACCCCATATTCATAATTCTAATACTTCATGATAAATTAATTCTAAATAAGGCAAAACAAATAGGAATTAATATGGGTGGAGATAGGCAATGAATACACGCTCTACTTCATGTGTATTGAACGTACAGAGAGAATGTGATAGGAAATCATGTATTACTTCATGTATAATTACACTGGCATTCCACTTCTATTGGCAAAGAAATGGAGCGCAACATGTTATACCTCACTAACAGATCAATTTTCCCTCTTAAGTTACTCTGCCTTCTTGTGTTTTGTAGTTAAAGGTGGCCTTGGCTCCCTGCATTGAAGGACTGATTCTCCTGGATCGTCTGTGCTATCTGAAAGAGCAGGTAAGTCACTAACTGTATGTATTACAGTATAATGGCTGCGTGTATTACATTGAACTGTAGAAAGTAAGAACTGTCGCCAGTTTTCTAAATGATTAGGAATTTAATCATCCTCCACTAGCATAGATCATATTTTTTCTCCAGTCATGTACTGATTTCAGCTCAGTGTTACAACATATGTGCTGCAGATGTTGGATTCCAATTAGCCAAACCACAGCACAAAACTTCTTGTTTCTCTAATTCTTTCATAATTACAAGTGTCTGTAATTTTAAAGCTGGTTTATAATCCATGCACACATATTACCTTTTCTACAGTTTTCACAGTCATATTGAGAATCACTTTGTTTCAGAAATAATTGTATGCTCAATAACACTGTTCAACAGACTATCAGACAGTCTAATTGCAAATGTATGTTCTGGATAATTAGACAGAAATTAGGATTGTGTCCCCTACTGTACAACACTTAATAACAGTTTCCTCTGTATGTACAATGACCTCAGTGAGAATTTATGTAATTTTAATTTGTCAATTTTTATGGAATATTTGCAACAGTTTTCCATTTTTAGGATACTCTAATGTTTTAGAAGCTGGAAAACTGCCTTAAGTGTTAGTGTATTTTATGATTCAATATTGGTTGTATTTGGCCCTCTATCCGTACAAACGTAAGAAACCAGAACTCTACATTTAAAGCACCCTTTACTTACTATTTATAATTGAAACAAAAAGACTTGGACTTAATGTTTGAAAATCATTGTGTCCATGAGCACTTAGGAGTGTTATCAGTCATTCTGATCTGGTCTTTAAAAGCAACAATCCAACAAGCTTCTTTTTAAATTTACCCTCTGCAGAATGGGGATGGAAAAAGAGAACTTCACACAGGAACAAAAGAAAGTACACTAAGAAAAAAAATACAGTGTGTTTCTTTTCTTTTGGATCTGACCACTCATACTGGGCAGTGGCTGGAAAGTCTTTTGAATAGATACACCCATTTAAGTGACACATCATCAATCTGTTTTTGTGATGCGTAGTAATTCCAACTTCTATCTGAGCTGGATAGTGAGGTCCTTACTTTTTTTAAATAAAAAGCAGTCCATCTTAAAAAACGGTGAGTGCTGTTAATACAGATAAAGCTTGGCAGAGTTATTATTTTTAAAGCTGACATATTTCAGCTGTGGTTTGCTTATCAAACTTTTATTTTTAAAAGGTGTTCATTCAAAATCCTGGTTTCTTTATACTCATCTTTCTGGACAAAGTGTATTGTCATGTCATGAGATCAAATCAGTTTGTTTCACAGGAATTACATATCAGTTTTCAACATTGTGTACAGTAAATCAACACTGATAACACTTTGAATCTGTGTAATCTGATTGTGTAAACAAAAAAGCATAATGTATATTGAGATAAAGCATATAAAAAGCCATAAAATAGAAGTTATTGAAAACTGAGTTATTGCATAATCCTGCGGTGAACTGAAATTTTGTTTAATGTAAACCCATCCACCAGCTTTGGGATATATGTCCCATGGTATATTTTCATCAGTTATTGTATCCCACATATTGTGCTAATATAAAAAAAAATTGTAAACCAAATCAAAAATAGTGAGTTAACCCAGATCATAGAAGATCTCCTAACTATTATGAATTTTAGGTCAACAGTGGTAAGCGGGGGAAATTTATTTTTCATGGAAAGCAAAACTTGTAAGCTCAATCCATTGATTTTATTGTTGCTGTTTTTTAATTAACAGTTTAATTAAAAGCATGGGTTAAAATAATCATTTTCTATTAGTTCCAAATTTATGTTTACAGTTTTTGACTAGCCATTCTGAGGTATACAGTATATTGTCCCCCAAATCAGCAGTAAACATGTACTGAATTCTAAGATATGTGTACTAATAACTGTATTAAGCAACAGTTTTTGACTTGTTGACAACCATTTCTTGTTCTGAAAATTTTAATTATGAAGCATGTTGCCAACTGTGAGGCCATTAGATTGGAAAAGAAGACATTTGATGACAGTTTGAAATACTTGAAAACAAAAAGCTTATAAATCAAATGCTTTTTTTCTCCAAATCATTTCCAGTAAAATACAATGTTGTTAGAATCATGGTTCCATAGAATAAGACAACACAACATTGCTAGATTTGTCATGCTTTTTTCCACTGAGTTTTTTTCATGTTCATCATGTTGAAAGATTGTTAAATGTTAAACAGGCTTGATGAAAGATATGCAAGTTGAATTTGTTCATTGAAATAGGAGCAGGCTCTTTGAGAGTTTGAAGTTACCATTTACGCAGTAGAGGTTTTGTGGGTACTTGGGGTTTTGCCATTTTGTAAAATGAGACTTGGGCTGTATCCAGCTAAATTCTGTTTTGGGTGGTACATTGAATGAACATCTGTGGTCTAAGAGAAGCCGTGAGTCTTCCTGATTACTGTACTTACATGAATTCAGGCTTAGACATGGTATTAGAAATGTAAATTCTATCAGAATCTCCCTGACATACTAGATAACACTCATGAGTGTAGACACAACAGTTATTGTAAAAGCTGCGTAGAATAAAAATGAAAATCTTTGAACTATGGGTCTGGTCCACACCATCTCGTGTTTTTTTTTTAACAGTACTTTTGTATGCATGTGCATAAAAATGTTTTGTTTTCAAAGAACCTTTCCTGATCTGTCACTTTGTTTCACCACACAAATGGAAACATCTTGAGTTAGTTAAGAAGAGATTGTTTAACAAGCAGGGTGAATGTATTTCAGTTTCCTTTTCTATGAAGCAGTTGGGACAATAAAGGAAAGAGATGATCAAAGGAAAGAAAGGACAATTACTGCCTTGTCTTTCTCACACCTGAAGAAGGCTCCACGGCCGAAACGTTTTCTTTCTTCTTTTTTTCAGCATGGCATAAACCTATTACTTGTTCCTTTGCAGTTCCTTTTCCTTACACATGCTGACACACCTACCCACCTGAAGAAATGATCACTTTGGATATTTACTAAGAAAATCTTAAATTCTTAGGCTATTGCACTTATTGAAACATTTGGTTAAAGTACAGATCTAAGAAAATTCAAAATCCTAGTTTTTAATCTTTTAAACACCAAATGGCAGTCTGTTGGGAAAAAAAAAACTTAGCGGTGCCGAGACATTTTGTGAACTCCTTAGGATTTTCAGATTTCACATATTTAAAACTTCAAATGTTATTAGATCTTTGTAATAGATATTACTATCTATTAATATATAAAGATATTTTACCAGGTGAAACAAATGATGCAAAACCTAACATTCTTTCAACATTAATTGTATCATTCAATATATTTGTATGACAAAGTATGTGAACCTTTAGGTTCAGTAACTGGTGGCACACCCTTGAGCAGCAGTGACTGCAAATAATCTTGTGCCTGTTGATCAGACTTCTACATCAATTTTGAGGAATTTTGGCCCCTTTCACTTCATAGAATGCCTTTAACTCGGTGACATTTGAAAGCTATGTTAATTTCACAGCTCACATCAGGTCCTGCCACAACATTTCAATGAGGTTTAGGTCCAGACTTTGACTAGGCCATTGCAAAACATCACATTTTTTTCTCCTGTAGCCATTTTTTTGCAGGTCTTGTATGTTTGGATTCATTGTTTTGCTCCAAACCTCACTTTAGGTTTCGTTTTTGACAAAGATAACTTTTCTCATCAAGGGAAGGAGTTCTACCTTTTACTTGTCCATCCAGAGAACATTGTTCTAGAAGCCCTGAAGATCATCAGTGTGCTCTGTGGCGATCTTCAGACGAGCAGCAATGTTCTTTTTGGAGAGCAGTGGGCAGTGGTGTTCCCCTTACTCTCCTTTCTTGACCACCATTCTTGTTCAGTCATTTTCTGATAGCTGAGTCACGAACAGTCACATTAGCCCAGGCGAGAGTGGCAGCCAGTTCCTTGGATGCTGCTTTTGGGTTCTTTGTAATTTTTTTTGCTGATTTCCCTTTTAGTCTTGGAGAGATTTTGATTAGGACAAAAAGCTCCTGGGTAGAGATACTGTGATCTTGAACTTTCTCCATTTGTGGGCTGTCTGACAGTGGAATGGTGCACAGTAGCCCCAAAGTCTTAGAAACCCTTTTCAGTTTGATGTGCATCAATAACTATTTCTCAGGTAGTCCAATATTTCCTTTTATCCTAGGATAACTTGTTTCCACACAGCTGTGTGGTGAAGACCAAACTTACATTTTTTTTATCTTTATATAGGGTAGGGATCAGCCACCCAAAATCAAACTAATTATTTAAACACCAATCATTCCCTTAATTGAGTAAATGAAATTCACTTACTTTTTCACATTCTCTGTATCTTAATTCTTAATTTTTTTAATTAATATTTATCTTTATGGTTCACAAACTTTTTCTTAGCACAGTATATATGAATTCTTGTTTGAGCACGTGTTGACAGGAATATTATCACTTTGTCCACTGGTCTCAGCAGAACTTAATAGCTAAACAAGACTGGGCTTAGTCAGCACTGGGATGGCAGCCCTTTAAAGAAAACTGGGTTGCTCCTGTAAGTTGTTTTGGTGGATGAGTTGGTATGCTATTCCCTCTGGGCTAGAATTTCAAAACCAGTGGCCTAGTTACTAGGCCATACTAGTAGCATCCTACTCTAGGTTACTCTAGGTTTGAACAATCTGTCCTATCTATAACTGACCCATGCATTACAAGAACATCACTTAGGATACTTTTTAGTATTTAAGTAACTAAGTTTCTTTTAGATCAGAAGGGAAATATGAAATATTACAGAGAAATTCTGACATTACAGGTTGAAATGTATTTTGTTTTGTTTTTTTTTCATGAGGAAAATATTCAAATGGAATTGTGTACCTAACCTTTTATTACTTCCTTGCTTACTATTTGTGTGTTCAATATGTTTTAAATAAAGAACTAAATAAAGGTTTATTCCGTGCTGAAAAGAGAAGAAAAGAAACATTTTGGCTGTGGAGCCTTCCTTAGGTGTCGGAATGTTTTTATGTAGTCT